ATGTGACTTAAAAAGTGGGCAGAGTCACCTTTCTTTTTACCAGTGAATCACTGTCAGATCTCTAGGCACTCTGAATGGCTACCAAAATGTGAGGTGATGTAAAGATCACAAGAAAAAAAGCCATTTATTGCAATTTTTTTCAATACAATTTTTTTCCACAAGGATGAAACTTAAACAAATGTAAATAAAGCCAAACAACTTGCTACATTTTCTTTGGCTATATTTCCAAGAAATAAAAATAAATGCTGAACTGTCATGATCTGAACAGTATGAGCTTGTGTCTCTAAGCTGAGGCAAAGTAGATAAATTTTAAATCATTACCCACCCAGTCCTCTGTATACATCCAGAGAGATACTCTTTTAATGAAAGAGCCAATGCTTCTCCTTTGGAAACATCAATGGTCAAAAAATTTCACAGATTCTTCAACACTCCATTTATTTCTTTTCACTTGTCCTCTCTGAAATCCACCTCATTGAGTACAAATTGTTAATTTTTTAATCTAAATGATGAGGATGGCAGAGCTGTGCCCTAGATTTGGAGTGAACAACAGGAAGAAGTAATAAATTGTACATTAAAACAAGTCACTCTTGAATGGAAAGGCTGCAGTTGACCCAAGGCCTTAAGCTGGCAGCTCTTTGTATTGTGGTGAGGATCATACCCTAAACTTGTCCAAGATCCCCGTGAGAATGGAACAGGTTCCCGAATTTTTGTGCTGAGCATTTATGTCCCCAGATTTTATGGTCTCTGAAGAACTGTTCTAGATTGCTCTTGTAAGAGCTACAAAAAGGTTTTTGATGAAAATCATTTATTTTTATTCAAATTGTCCATTCTCCCAATATTTATGTGTTTATGTGGTACAGTTCTGGAAAGGAATGGTGACTGAAGCTTGGTTTTGGGGGGAAAAAGTAATGAAAATTCAGACATTTACATATTTATAGAGATTTCTGCATCCCTGTGTTATCGAATAAAAGTTTCCAAAGGCTTCAAAACCATCAGGTATTAGTGTAATGTCAAGATATATTTAAATCTTCTGAATCCCTGCAGAATTTATATTAATTCTGGTGTTCCCATCTCATTGAGCACAATTTTCTGTATTTATCTGGCTGTACAAACAGTACATTCAATATAAGTACAGTGCAGGATATTTTCCCATAGAGGATGAGGAGTGACCATGAGAGACCAGGCGGGTTGAAAAGGTAATTATTGCCCTATACAGAGGTTAAAAGCATGTATCCCTGTCAATCCTGTGTCTAAAATGTCTATTGTGGTCATATACTCTCTATGAAAATGATTAAACAAGATCATTCTACCTAGAATTAACCCCCACCAGAAAGCCACCATTTTGAATTAATTACAGAGCCAGGACTTGAAGGTGACAGACTCTAAAACTAATTTAGTCTTTTACAATGCTGGAAGGAAAAGAACTGAAAAGTCCAGGTTGTTTGCTGAGTTTATTTTGCTTGTGTTTTAGTGAATTACCAACATAAAGTAGATATCAGACATAAAAATGTGATTGGGCATTGTCCCATGCATGAAGGTTGCTTGCATGTGCTTCAGAGTATAAAAAACTGTAATAAAACCCAAGCATGCCACACTACCAGCAATTAATCTGAATAAGTGATCAGATTATAGCCAAAACTGCTGACTGATTTCTAGGGTTTTGATGCAGTGACAATGACTTACAGGGAGGAGTGAAAGAATGATGATCTCCATGCTGTAGAACAGGCACATTTACCTGTGGCATTCATTCAGAGAGAAACCAATTAGGAAAAGTGCTAAACCTTCAGAATGCTTTTTACAAGTTGTAGTGGGGAAATTAAAAAAGATCACAAGGAACAACTAGCCATGGCAAAAAACCCCTAAAAAACAGCAACAACAACAACAAAAACAAAAAAGAAAAGAAGAGAAAAAAAGTCCTCTGGAGTGGTCTTAAAACCTTTGGTTCTATCTAGGGCATCTCTTACCATTTTTCAGCTCTCCTTCCCACTCATATAACAGAAGTTTGTGGATATAATGGAGTTTATTCTCCATTATGCTACAGCAGTTCTTGTGTGCACTGGAGCATATTCTGAGACCAATGTTGTGGTCTTCAAAAACTGTCTCCTTTCCTTGCACGTTTTTCTGGGATAAACAGACTTTCCTATTCCACATCCTCTCTTTCTACAATAGGTGATTTTTTTTCTCTGTGTTGGACCATCCCATACTACCAAATAGTGTGGGGTTGATTCCACAGTTCATTATTTCATTTGTGCACTGTGTTTGTTCCCAGTGACCTTTACACAATGCTGATCATAAATGGCAGCATATAATAGGTTAATAATACTACTACTAATAATAGAATGACATATTGCAAGTATAAAGGTTTGTACTTTCAAGTTTTATTTTCTTTTTCAAGAGCTGTGAAAACCACCTTCCACACTTCATTCTTGTCTTAAAGTCTTAATCCATAATTATGGAGAACTGAGGTACCAATGCCTGAGCAACAAGATTAATACCTTTTTGACAGAATTTAATAATATGGTTTTATATTTAATTTTGTTCATAAAATATCTCGCAGTAGGAAACTTTTTTTTACTTACCCAAACATTATTGCCTTAAAACAATTTAAGTCATATTTCCTAGTGCAAAGAATTTATTAGGAAAGCTTGTTGAGAACAGGTTTTTATGGGCTTGTGCAGGGATTAGCTTCAACTTAATTTGGATATCCAACCAATTTTGACAAGTACAGTCCACCATGGGCTAATAATACGGTCCTTAATTAATTTAACCTATCTTAAATGCATATATAATAAAATATATAAATATATACATATATATTATATATCGTTATATATTATATATTATATATTATATATTATATATTATACCTATTTGATAATATGTTAATAATATAATATATTATAAAACATATTATATTATATTATATTATATTATATTATATTATATTATATTATATTATATTATATTATATTATATATAAAAATGTATAGATATATAATATAAATGCATATATAATAAATTTAACCTATCTTATACTCTGAAGCTTTTAAAATCATGTTGTATATGTCTTCTAGATAACAAAACTCATGTTGGTTTAGGTTTTTGTGTCTGGAGAAAATATCCAACCATCAGTGCAGCTGATAATGTTTTTGCCTAAGTGAGATGAAGGCTGTTACATAATGTATTAGTTGCTCTCGGCAGCAGAAATTCAACCTGCAGTACCAAGCTTTCTGCTCAGCACATGGGGTAGCAGAAAGCCCTGCCTCTCTGCTGTGTACCCACAGTAAAAACCTCCTGTTGCAAGGCACATTTCCAAGCAGCAAATCTCCATTTTTTTGCTGAGGTGCTGCTCAGAATATCCCCAGATGCAAATATTTGCCACCACCATGCAAAGACAAGCCTGTCACACAGTGCAGGATCCTACCCTGCTCCCAAGGTCTGGAGGCATCAGCACAGCCCCTGGAGCTTCTGGGAGGTAAGGGGGGCCCATTTTTGTGATCCTCCAGAGGGGAATATCCTGAGGAAAAAGTGCAAAGTGCCTGGCTCTCGGGAAGATGTGTGGACACCATTGAGCATCTGAGATCTACACCTCTATTTGATCTAAATATTCCGTGTGAGGTTGACAAGGGACAACTTGAACAGTCCTCTGAGGGCTGTGGGTTTGGAGGAGCAAGGGGTCTCGAGCCTCACTCTTAATAATCTGTACACATCAGTGACAGATGCAATCAACTGCAAACCAAATCCCTGAATGTAACTGGAGATCTCCAAACATCTCATGTAATCACAGGGGTTTTCTTTCTCTTCCTTCCTTCCTTCCTTCCTTCCTTCCTTCCTCCCTCCCTCCCTCCAAATAGATATTAAAATATTTCTTGCTACAGGAAGAAATAGTGTAAGCATACAATATTCTGAAAGAAACGCCATAAATTCCACCAGAAGAGGAAGAAAAAAACATTAAACTTGCAAACCTCAGCACTTCTTATCTGGAAAAAATATCATGGTTTTTCAGCGCTATATGTTTATCCTCCTTGCAGCTGAGTGTCCCTAATCCTTTATGATATCATGACACGGCATTCCCACATGGCAAGCTTCCACCTTGTTTGTTTGGAAAAAAAAAAGCCCACTAGTAGTTTGTGTGGAGAAAAGGATGGCTCCAGACATGAGGAAACAGCAAAAGGCAACACCTGAGGAGGCTTCACAGACCAGGGAAACTTTTGGCTGTATCTCCAACAGATGCCCCTACAAGTGAATGCGTCTGTGCAAGAATAAAAGCGTGGATCCAGTCAATTCAAAACCCATCCACCTGCAGAATCCAAGACCATCTCCACTACACGATTCAACTGCAAAACTAGGGACACAAGGATGTAAAACTAACACATCACTGTCAAGGCTGTGATGAAAGACGAAAAAAAATCTTTTTTTCAGTTTAGGGGTGTGTGTAGCTGTGTGAATATACGTACAGAATCATAAAAAGAAAGGTGGAGTATGTTGAAAAGCGAGTCAGGACTTTTCCCTTCAGTATTACAAGTGATGTGGAAAATATCCCTTGCAGCTACTGTGGGATAAATTGCAGCATGATTACAGATATGGATCAGATAAACACAGAAAGCTGATGAGAGTTTAAACAAACTTGGTCCACCTTTTCCTCTGACTTTACCTCCATTGGTTGGTTCCTTCTTCTAAACCATAATGGTGTAATTGAAGGGAAAAAAATTCTCTAGTCAGAAAGTGTATAAACACATTTGTCCAGAAAACTCAAGGCAGTAATCTTGAGTAGAAGCTTTTTGCCTACACTAAGATGAAAAAAAAAGAAGAGTTTCATAGGATCATTTAGATAGGATAAGTCCTTTTAGAACATCAAACCCAATCATGAAATCCATACAATTCTTAAATTTTGCATGGGAAAAGTAAATAAGAACAATTATTTGTCTTCACTGACAAAACATAACTTGATGGACACAGAGAATATTCAAGGCAAATAAAATGAAGTTTTTTTCACTTACCAGGTTACACTGTAGAACTTGCTGCTGTGGGATTTTCTGGATGCAAAATGCACAAAGCTGATGAAACAAAGGCCATGAACCAAGTCCACCAAACACTGAGGAACAGCTGAATCCTCTGTCCCAGGAATTCTTTAACCTGCAGACTGGCAGAGTCTGGAGTGCACAGCTCAGGAGCGGGCACTGCTCTTCTCATTTGCTTTCTGCTGGGCACAACCCAGCTAATGACACCAGCACAGTGCTGGGCACAAGAAACATTTTCTTTAACCCAGCAGAATGATTTTTTGTGTTCTTCTTCAGCTCACTTTGATTTTCACACTTCTGCAATTTTTCTTCCAGCAGAAAGGATACAGGCTGTCATTTGGCAGTACTGGAGTCTTTTAGCTGTCAGGGAGGGATTCTCTGCCCACAAGTGTAAAACAGCCTTGCCATACCTGAAATTATCCTTCATGTGTTTTTAGTAGGTCATGGGTGCTCTTAGTGACACTGAGAATTTTTGATGAGCACCTGCAGTTCCATGCTAATGGACCATAAAAAAATGGTGTTGTGGAATTAAGCTATTTGCAAAAACAAAAGGGAAAGCACAATGCAGCTGGAAACATAATGCAGGAAAAGAAGGACATGTGATTTTAGCTACCTAGAGAACTAGACCCTGTGAGTATGTCTGTGATTTTCTGAGGGATTTAAATCTTAATATCAGCAACACAGTCATGTTTTTATTAAAACCTTACTCAGGTGTTGCCCAAATCTGGTATAGTTTTAATTACAGTCACTTCTATATAAGCCCTCCATTGTATTTTAACATCTTTGCTTCTTGGCTTAGTACTGAGTAGCATGAAGGTCAGTGCTTAATGCAGGCTTGCAGTAAATTGCACTTCTCCAACAGCACTTTCAATGTACCTTTATCAAAAATTTTCCAGGAAAACTGCCATTCCTGCTAATGACAAATTTCATATGTTAGTTGGGCTCTGTCTCACTACATCCCATTCACTGCTAGAAGTCAGAAAATGGCTCAATTAGAAGAAAATTTGAGAGATGTTGCTGCAGAAGATTTGTGAGGAGAGATGCCAGCAGATAAATGTGAGTAATTTTCCAGCTCAGGAGGCTTCAGCTGTGATTGTACAGACTGATTCTACTTAATTCATTTCTTTCTTTCCATGTATGCGAGCAAGACAGCAGGTGAAGAGTAAAATACAAAAACTGGAGCAAAAATGGGTTATTAAAGTGAATCAAAGTAACAACTGGCTGGGCAAGTACACAGGTACATTATCTATGACTCATGAGCCTGTATATGTTTTAAAATGCCATTAGCCAAGTGATGACTATATGGAGATGATAGTAAATGCCCAAAGTTTCCTCAATTTCATAACTTTCACTCTGAGTCCCTGATTTCACACAGATCCCTGGGGATCTGAATGCTGCACTCACTCTCCTCTGAGCAGTGGTGGGATCAGAGACCTCTTGAGCCCTTGCCCAGCCTGAATGACTCTAGGAATAGTGCCTCCTATTTAAAAATATGCTTTGTCTCTCTTGGGAATGAAAAAAATGCAGTAGAAAGGAACTTTGGAGACGACTCCAGCAATAAACACTGAATGTGGACACTAGAACTGGAGAATTCCCAGATAAATCAGAATCTTGAATATATTGATCAAGAGTGCCTTTAATTGAGGTGATAAAAGGAATTCACTGTCAATGTGGTGTGTGGGGAAGTAACTTGGTCAAGAATGATGCTCAGATCTAGTTGTCATCAAGCCAATGTGGGGGCAACAACAACAACCAAGCAGAGCCTGCTCATTTGCTGCCCAGTGTTCTGCACAGGGATGAGAGGGCACCTGCTGCCAGGTGAGCAGTGTAAACCTCTTTTTAGAGAAGGACTGTGAAAACCCATGGTTCATTTCCTAACAGTTCAAGGTGTGAACTGCCTTAGTTGTCCTGGTAGAGCAATTTCCTTCCAGCAGAGAGTGTCCTGCAGGAATTATCCAGCTGAGGGATGGATTTGCAGCCAAATGCTTTAACATAGCTAGGAAGAAATTTTAAAAATTCAGATGTAGATGACATGGTTTACAAAACTGTCAATGTCCAGCCTTAACTGAACTCACACTCCTGAGTTGTGAGGTTTGGTCTCTAGGTGAGCACTACAAAATGGATACCTTAAAATGTAGAATGAGTTTTATAGGGAAAAGAATGAGAAAATATTCTAAATTTTCAGGAACTGACAGGAATTTCTGATGAAATCAAACTGTGTTCTTCCATTGACTTCAACAGGCAAAAGATTGAGATTATAAAGAATTGGTTTGGGGGAAAAATGCCGGTAGGATATTAAAGAGGGATTGAAGTTAAATGTTTCTCAATAAAAGGAGTGGAATCCACAAAATTCTTACTTTCACAAAAAAAATAATGTTTTATTTGTTTCCAGCTGTCTAAAAAAAAGTCCAGTTTAACATCATTACGTAAGAACTGGATAGAAATTATATTTTGGGTAGAAATTATATTTTTAAAATGTAAAGATAGGCACATAATATGGTTAAAATTATGTAAGCTGGAGCCTGAAGTTGCAGTAATTTAGCTCATCTGTGGTAACAGCCTGTGGGGAGTCTTGTACATGGTTATAAATGTGTGGTAATTTGAGGTTGCCTATCCCTCTTCTGAATTCCCCCTCTTGGAAGTAAATGATCTTACATTTACTGATGGGTAGGAAGGTGCACAGTTATTACTAAGTAGCCAAACACTTGTGGCAGCTTGTTTGCACGTCTTTAAGATCAGCTAATTACAGTAGGCAGGAAAAAAAAAAGAAGTTATTAGAGCCATAACAAAGCACTTGAAATTATCAAAAGAAAAATGGTTTTATTTATTGAAATTTAATCTTTTATAGGTTTCTAGCCATGAACATATCCAAGATTTTTTTACCATTCTTCCTGATTCACTAGGCATTATTCACAGGTATTATTCAGAATTTCAATAATTGTAAACTAGAAAGCCTAGCGCCACTCCAGAGTAAATAATCCTTTTTACTTCTGCTCTTTCTCATAGCTTCTCATAGCTGAAGTGAGACTTTTTTTGTTTAGACTATGAAATCTTTTACATGATTTTGAACTCAAAGAATAACTTTATCTTCTATTTATCTTTCTGATTTGAGACCATTTACCCCTCTGCAGAAGAGACGGAGGTCTGCTATACCATGATAAAGAGTAGGGGATTCCATTTGCAAGATATGAATGTCATCATTGGTGAAGAATTAGGTTTATTTGTCTGTTGAGCAGCCCTCATCTAAAGAAGTGTTCAGGATTTCAGGCAGGAAAACGAATTGGTACCAAAGCACAACGTGCCTAGAAACTTGTAGGATCTGTGTTCAAAACAAGCAGGAAACAAGTTGGGATCTCCTTACTGTGGATCCTATGGGACCAAAATTTTACAATTCGGATTCAAAAAGAGACCTGGAAATGACAGTGCTGCTTGCAAACTTGGATTTCCAATGTCTGCAGCCTCCTTCCTCTCCCTTCCAGTAGATCTAACCCTATGAGACAGGAGAGAAATGAAAAACAGATGCAGAAAGTTTGAGAATTCATCTGAATTGAAAAATTATATTCAGAATTCATCTGAATTGAAAAATTTAGCTTTTGCAATGCAACACCAAACGTTCCACCATTTATTTTCCCAGCAGTTTTTCTGTACTCTCCCTCCAGTAACAAAAGCTGTTGACTAACTTTGCCGGAAATCTCCTCTAATTAAAGGCGGCCGCAGAGTTAGCCTCTCATACAAACATTAAATTAGAAGTGTCCACAGGGTTGCATACAAATCAGAATCCACGGTTGCCAGCCAAACCACACGCCGTAGATGTGGCTTTGTAGGAAGAACCCAAGAATTTTCATTCCAAAACCACAGGTACCTACTCCTATCTTGTTTGGCTCCTGCAGTAACAAAGCTGAAAACTTGCAAGGGAACCAGCAGCTCTGTGGCCACTCTGTGGAAGACATCTGTCACCCCATTCCTTGGCTGGTCTTGGTGAACAGCCAGCCTTGCCACACACAAGACAAGGTGTCACTTGAGTAATTTAGAAATGCCAATAATTTCTGTAATTCATGGGGGCTGTTCTATCTTCTTCTCTAGAAATAGCTTGCCTGCATTTTTCCCAGCTTTCTGTTCCACTTATGCAGGATTAGAGAGAAGGGGAAAGAAAGTTCAGGATAAGCGAGGTCCTCCTGACTTCATATGCTTCTTCTTTTTTCTTTTTTTCTTAAAAAAAAAAAAAAAAAAAAAAAAAAAAAAAGAGAGAAGAGGAATATGTGAGGCTGGAAAACAGGCAAAACTACATCTGGCATCATTTCATCTGAGCAAACGTTCCACAAGAGTGAGTGAAGTACCTCCAAAGCTGGGGAAAAAGTGCTCCACCTCCTGCACACCCACCAGGCTTATCGGATCAGTCATGCTGCAGGAACCTGCCTTGAAGTTCTTGGCCTCATAAGGATCCTGAACACACACTGGTATCAGGTTCTTTCCCAGTGTTTCCAAAACACCGGGAGAGAACTGATTCCTTATTCCTTTTCAAGTTGCTCCTGCAGTGGTGCAAACCTTGGTTTGAATGCCTTATTCCCATAACCAAAGCAGGTGAAAATGTCTCACATCTCCCCTGCTCTACACACAGAGCTTTAGGAATGAGCAGTGATGTCTCCTGAACATCAGAGATCACAGCCAGCAGAAACAAAACAGCATGTCTTGTGGGGAAATAAACATTTCGTAATTGCTAATGTTTCCTTTTGGATAAGTGAAAAGCCTGAACACATTAAAAGCAAAAAAGAAAAAAAAAGATCTAATTTCTAGTTTAAATACAGCTGCAGTAATTCTTATACACCACACAGCTGTTCAGAGGCCTGGCAGCTGTCCATATCTTATGTGTCCTATCATGTATTTTCCAGTATTGTCCTCTTGACACATAAAGACTGCCTTTAACTGTTGGGGAAAAGACAGGAGTCCTTGAGTTAAACACATTTATGTCTCACCACTGCTGGCTTTTGCCCCCACTGAGCCTCTTCACCTGTGACCATGGTCTTGTTAGAGAGGAGAGTCATGTAGGTTTTTTATTCCTTTCTTTGACATAATCCTCCATAATGTTGCCTGACCCCAAATTGTACACTTGCTTGTTAGACACAAACCAAAATCATAGCTAACACACATTCATATTGTGGAAATAACTGGGATGACAAATGTTTCAACCAAAACACCAACAGATGTGCCAGTCCCACTGCCAGCGCAGAGTGGGAAGGGCGGCTGACAAGTTTTCCTGCCAGCATGTGGTGCCATTCTGAATTCATTTCTTAGAGAACAGAATTTCTGGTTTTTAGATAAAATGAGAATAAAGAACTTCTTACCCTGTATCATGAGTATTTTTTAAAATAATATTCTCATTTTTTCTTGGCTAATTTTGTTCTAAGCAAAAATAGCTGTGGTTGAAATGCTGTTGCTCAGACTGCACGGAAAATGCATTATAATGTTTAGCTAAAGATGCATCTCTGGGAAAGTTTTCCTCCACTCTGGCTTCAGACATCTTCCAAAGTACAAGACACAAAAGCCTCATGAGGTGCTTGTGCAATGAGGGCACCATTTTCCTCTTACAAATGGGGAAACTGAGGCAGGAGACAAAAAGTTCTGCAGGCTCATGCCTAGTGGTATTCCCTCAAGAGCTTTACAGGGACACTTCAGAGAAAGACAGAGGCACAGGTAAGGGGCACATGGCTGTGGGCAAGCTGTGCCTCCTTGGGCAGGATTGGACACACCTGGTGTCCTGTTACCTTTACATGGCTCTGGGTTGGTGCCAGCTCATGTCCAGCCAGCTCGAAGCACAACCAGGGAAGTGTGCTGTTTCCACCTGTCTTTGTAGGCCCTGCTTATCTCCTCTGTTATGATGAAATATAAAAAGTACCTTAAAAGAACATTAAGGTTTAGCAACAGACAAGCCAAACTTTGCCTCCTTCACACATGGCACTGAATCTATTTTTCCATTGTGCTGTTGTCTTTTTTCTTTTTTTAAAACCATAGATTAGCTTCTGTATCACTTGCTAGCCCCACCTTGCCTCCTCCCATATTTGTATATTCTAGCATATCAAAGCAAGATGTTTTTACACGATAAGCTCTCTTCTCTCTCAGCAGCTTGGGTAAACAGTTTTCCCAGAAATGTTTCACTCACGACTGTGTTACATACGTCACCTGCAGTTTGGAGTTGAAGCACAGATTTTACTGTACAAAAGGCATTCCCTGGCTCTATTTGCCCTTAATCTGGGAAACAGTAAGATCAACCACAAGTTACTATTCCTGTGTACCTAAAGATACAGAAAAAATATTAGTTTAGAGACAGTATGTTATCGTATTTAATAATACATGTGCCCTTTTTAGCTGTTCACTCCTGGGCACAGGGAAGTTCATTTCTAACCTTCAGTACCTTTTGACATATGAAACTATGTAGCACTGAAGTCTGTTTACAGAGTTATTAATTTCCTGGGTTTGTTTTTTTTAATTAAAAGAAAAGAGAAGGCCTCTGGGGCCCAGCAGGTGAGCAGCTCATTGCATGTACCAGCTCTTCATCCTTTCTCAGATGAATATTCCATACTGAATGGCAAAAATACATTTTGGACAGACTCTATACTTGGATTTTCAAATGCTAACAAGCAGGTAAATGGGAAAAATTTATTTCTAGAAGAAAGCTGCACACTTCTCTCAGCCAAAAGCTAACTTTAGACTCTCCAAGTTTGAGACCTGTCAGCCCTGCTTTTCCTCAGGTCTCCCCAAGAGTTTCTATGGAAAGGGAATTATGACACCTTCTGCAAGAGCAATGGAGTTGGGATTAACCTGATGGCATCTTTCAACTACAGATTTTTCACACTAGCATATTTGCAATTTCTTTTGTATAATAGGGAAGATGTTTGGTTTTCTTTTTTGTTTCCTCAAAACTGGGAAGACTTGTTGGTCAAATTTTCCAAACAGTCTACACCAAGGACTGTCATTATCCCAAAATATGTTGCAGCAATGGTTATGCAGTCTCACTTAGAGGTCATTCCTCCAGTATTTTCCTGACAAACACTAACATATCCCTTGCTCTACATTTTCCTTCATGTTACTTCATAGGCTTCTGCAATGTCCTTGTCTTTTCCCTGGTGCTTACACCCTTCACTTACTCATAGGCACTCAGCATGTCTCCCTTTAGCTATACATATTCAGCTCTTTTAATCTTTTATCATAAATCAATCATTCCGGTGATTAATCATATGTTCTCTTTCCCCTGGAACTCTCTCCTGCTCCTCTCCCTTTCTCCAAACAGTTTTATGTGCCCAGAACCAAACTCATTTTTTTAATTGCATGACCAAAGAGACTGGACAGTCATCTTTTGAGAATATGTAGTGAAAGTCAAGTCAACTAATAGGATTGGTGCATCACCACTGCTGACAGTACCTGTCACTCAGCTGATTATTTTGTGTAAGTTTTTTAAAAATAGCAATAAAGTTGCCTGGATGGAGTCAAGAGTGGCAAATACTGGTGTTTCATTTCAGGCATGGACTGATCCATGGGACCCAAAACCTCAGAGACAATATGAGAATTCAGATCCAAATGTGGGCTCCATGGCACACAAGATTCACTTTTATTTGAGGGATTCAGCCTTGTAGTTCTCCTAAAGAAATCAGGCTCTTCTCAACTTGCCAATCCAAGAAATTTCCCAATTCCTCTTAAACTACCTGACTGATCAGGACAGAAATCATCCACAGGCATGCAGGCCACAAAACTTTCCTTTTGAATCATAAATTCATTACTAGAAAACAATACCAGAAAACAATAAAAAAAAAAAAAGAATGAGAGAAAATAAAGAAGAGCCTAGGTGTAAACAAGACCCTGGAAAAGCTGAAATTTTTAATCTTTTGCACTGACCTGAAGGGGGCAGGGAAAGAAATAAAGACCCTGTCCTGATGCTAGACTTTTTCCTGCCCCTGAAGAAGAAAACCTTTTGCAATTCTTATTCTGAAGACTAAAGGAGCAACTCAGGAGCATCCCAGAGCTGTACAGACTTGTCCCCTGAAGAAGAACAGAAATGACTGTGAGTTCATCAGTCCATCCTGGGCAGGCTCTGGGGACAGAAAGTGCTCCTGAGCATGCTGGTGCTGCTGGGGAGATGCTTTCACAGCTACACATGCAATACAAAGACAGCTTTGACAAACACAGATGAATGTGAAAAGGAGACCAGGTAGACCCAGGTGAATACGAGAACAGACAGTCTGACAGGGGAGCTACTCCTAGTGGCTCATGTAAGCAAAACAATTTCACCCCCTTCAAAGACAAGCGGGAGCCAGGATACTCCGTTTGTAATTTGGGGGATTTTTGAAATCATAAGTCTTCCATTATAAAATGCCTGAAGCCTCCAGTCCCAGCAATCAGCCCTGCAATATCCGGTGACAGGTAAGGAAGCACCTTCTGTGTTGTAACAAACATCATCAAAGGGCTTCAGTCCAAGTCACACTAGTCAGAAGGATGTAC